GGAGTATGTGTCATTTTATCGTTTACTATGCTCCCAGAATAACATTCATCTCTAGGGGATTTCTTGGGATATAATTAGATCATCGAGGGGGGACAAAATAGATCGCTTGCTCGACTACAACGGGAGTTTTTCTCACGTCAAAATACAAATTTTAGGCCCATTAGTTTTGTTACATGTCTAGTCTAATTGTTCCAAACGAGACTTGACTCTGTTGAGACGCTCTTCCAGCGCTCCCACTAACTCACGAAGTTCCTGCAACTCGACCTTGAGATCAACTGAAGACGCAGAAGCCTGATTCGGCGCTGAACTTGTTGGTGCCGGGGTGGTGGGGATAATTGCAGTTGGAATTCCATAGAGACTTTGCTGGACCTCCATAAAGGCCCTCACCGCATCTCCAACCCATCTCTCTCGCTCATTTTCCTTTCTTTCTGCTGCGTGCTGCCTTCTAGTTTCACGCCTCTGGCCGGAGGTTGTGATGGTATAGATATTGCTGACAACCAAAATAACGATGATGAAGCCGAGAACTGTCGTTTTGGTGAACGAAAGACCACCGACAAGGTCGGAAATGATGTCAAAGAGACCGGATAACGAATCGGTCGCAACTTTTGAAGCAGCCTCAAATGTATCAAGGGCCCACTGGAGACCTCGTGACGTGGCCACTGGCTTAGGACCCGTGGGTTGTAAGGTAGAGTGTTCTTTGGGGGTCGTAGGACTGAGCATTCCCTCTCCTTCGGCTTCTTGGTCTGTAGCCGTGGCATCCATGCCTTCTGGCACGAACTCTGTTCGATGCTCGGAAATGTATTTCCGCATGGCCGCTTCTAACTCTGTGTAGTATGTATTCTGGCCATCTCCACATGATTTTTCAATGATACCTAAAACAAGTTTAGTCCTCTGATGGTCATTGAATGGACCAGTATACCTTTGATAAAACTCCTTCCTGTCCATTCGACTGTAAACGTGACAACAACCTTTGATGACATAGCACCCGCCCACATGATGCAGGTTCTTGTCTTGACGGAAAAGACGCCTCCACTAGGGACATCAGGGGTTCTTGTGGTTGTGATAGTGCTGGCATAGTCATTGAAGTCGATGTGTTGGTTTTCCTCCCTCAACTCGCATTTCGTCTGCTTGGGTCCAAATCCACCCGAAAGCGGCTTAATGTATGACATGTTTCTCGATAGTAGGTGCTGATTTTCGGGAGAAGGCTGCCAGTCAGAAGTTTGGATATCTACCAAGCACGTTACTTATGTCTAGACAATGACACCAAACTTACCTATCAACTTTTGGTCCTGGGAGAGGAAGTCTTTGATGAAACCACTGGCAAACATCAAGTTGTAGATTTGCTCTGGAGTTCCTGGAACGATGCTGTCCATGGCGACATTGGGGTAATGGGCACCTGCTTTTGAGCAAGCACATTGAGTAGCTTTCCTTGTACGAGCACTTCCTGGCTCGGCCTGCGAGAAGACGCCATCACGGCCATTTACACCTGGTGTAGTATCTGATCCTGGCGATGTCGCGGCAGATCTAGATGGAGCTCCGTTCCTCCAGACACTGTAGACGACATCATATACATTATCTCGAGCCAAAAAGCTGGCAAAGGTATGTTTGGTGGTACCATGTTCGGTGATGCCAATAGCGTTAGGGATGACGAAAGCGGTCATTTTCTTTTCCACAGCTGTAATATTACCAACGGGAATGATTACGTCCGTAACCCAGCCAAATATGTTGGCGTGAAAGCATAAGTGATTTTCCGAGACATAGAGCCGTCCTTGTATAAGTATGTCACGTTGTAGAGCGCAGCCATAATCTTGGAGAAAACGTCATGAGAACAGGGAGTTTGTATCCGAGAGAGACTTACCATCAATTAAATAATCATCCGGGGGAACCTGAGGGAACATTTCATGAAAGTCTTGATTTCGCTTCATAGTAGCGACCGCAAAGCCAGTAATAGGAATCTCATCGTCATTGAAACTCAGAGCATCTCCTGAATCATAGTCTTCCGAGTCCTCCGCAGAATCGTAATTGGGCTTTGAGTTGGAAGAAGCCGAACGAACTCGTGGACGGACAATCCTTGTTCTCTCTGGAGACGAAGGATCGTTTGCAGAAACATTAACTGCGGATAGGTTGGATGGCTTCTTCGTCAGAGCCGGAGGAGAGAGTGATCCAGTGGGTGAAGACAGCATATTGGGTGGTGGGGCAATGCCCATTCCAGAAGCCACCAGCGCACTAGCTAGACCCATGCCCATTGTTGTTTGATGTCTGGTAGCAGGCTTTCCGCGACTGCCAGCAGATGCAGCCCCAACCGAAGAGGCATGTTGACGACTGGCGCGACGCTTCTTGCCCGGAGACCCCGCCCCGTCTCTCTCTTTATCCGATAAGGCACCGTTAGTTGCTGCTGGAAGACTGACACGTTGTCCAATTTGGGGTGGGGAGTCGACGAGTTGTGCCAAGGACTGAAATTGGGTGGATTCCCCGGAAGCGATTGAGCCACTGCGCCTCGATCCAACTGACTGTGTAGGAGACTCGGTCATGGGAATTGTCGCGTTGTTTGTTGCGTTGTTCGTCGCGTTATTCGTCGCATCGACTGCCGAATTGGACCTCGAACGACCAGTCTTAGCTGCCGAGGCGGGGGGTATTTCAGATTGATGTCGTTGCCTCACTGGAATGTTATCGTTAGCTACAGTGGCATATCTCCGATGACCTTCGTTGGCTGAATAGCGACCCAAACTGTCTTGAGAGGCTGACATTGAATTGATTCGATGGACACTTGTTGGTGAAACAGTCATTGGCGAAACAGAATCATCATCTTGTGTGAGAACAACTTTAGGGGTCGCAACTTCCGTTGGAGGAAGTGTTATCTTGGGTAGACTTGGAGAAGGCGTAACGCTACGTGATCCCGACCTTGTTGGTTTGCCATTGGGACTAGCCGCAAGTTTGCCATCCTTGGTCGTCAGCTTATTCAGCCACCCTGACATCCTGTAGGAAAATTTTTAGATATGGTCTCAGAGGATTTTAGCAAGCGCAAAAGTTTTGGGAGTTATATAGCCGTTGTCGAGTACTGCGGCGTAAGCTGTAACACGCAGCGTGGCATGACAGTAGCCTCATACGACTTTAGAAACTTTGACGAGAAGGGACTAGCCAGCAGCTTGGATTGCCATTGTCATATTAAGCAACTCACGTTGGAAGTTTGGTATGTTTGAAAGCTCAACCGCCTTTGGTTGAAACAGGATGACGCTTTCTGAGCGACGGGCCTTTGTGCTGGATAGTATCTTGATTATTGTTTTAATAAGCCGAGGATTAGATGGTTCCAAAATATCGTTAAGAGCCGGGAAGTTGGTCAAATGACAGACACCTCAAAGGAGTGGTCGTGGTGGAGGTTTAGTTTGCCAAGCGCCGGCGGGTCTATACCAGCTCCGAAAAGGCACGAAAAAATATACAAGGCCAGGCTAGTTACAGCTATGTAGATACTGGTTCTAAATATCATTTGTGTTACTTTCGTACCTTCAATGCGTCCAAGCGCTTCTTCAAAGACTCGAATTCATCCTCTTCCTGTGCGGCCTTATTAGCCGCAGCTGGTGCCGCCGGTTTTGCAACATCCGGAGTCGCGGTTCCTTCTGTAGGGGGAATATTGGGCAGTTTGGCAGCTACACGTTCCGATGTTGCGCCTACTGGATCCGTTAAAGCGGGTGCGATCAAGTCTGAGTGTCTCCTTTCCAATACGGGTGCCTAGATAGATAGTTAGAGCATTCCTTGAAGCATAGAGTATATCCAACCTTAAGTCCTCCATCATCCTCGTCATCTCCACGGTCAGAAGGTGTATATGGGACTCCGTACCCCTTCGCAATCTCCTCCAAATATGCCTCGACTAATGAGTTCGGAGGAGTATCCACCGTAAGCTTTCTCATTACCTATCCTTGATTAATTTCTGCCTTAATAAGAGAGTGACGTGGTTACCCGAGGTGACACGCATCCATCTTTGTTCTCCATCACAGCAATTGAGAATTCTCGCCCAAACTTGTGCATGAGCATCTCTCGTAAAACATGAAGCTCTGATAGATACACTGTAAGAAGGAGAGCTGTAGATATGAGCCTCATACCTTTGAGTTCAGTCCGAGGAGCAGCATGTATGACCGCACAGACAGCTTCATGGACCCCTGGATCTGGTTCTTTGGCCGGTGAGTCCAAGAGACCGAATCGAGCAATGAGTAGCTCGCAGTAGAGCTCCAAGATTTCCAAAAGCTCTACGTGGATGTCGTCATGGATAATAGCTTCCACTTTGACCTTGGCCGTTTCAAGCTTTTGTCTTTCTACTAAGGTGGCTATATCTCGACGAGCTGCCTTTGCGAGAGATTCCTTCTTCTCTGAATGATACAAGGCGTGTCAGTATGTTGATAGTCGTGAATATGAGTAGTAGAACCTTGGGTCGTCCGGAGGCGTTGGACCGCTAGTCTATAATGCTCCAGTAAGATTGCGTCTTTCACCTGATCTAGCAAATCACACACTTGAGCTGGACCTATAATGACTGGTTGGTTATACTGGATGCAACATGTGATGAGATTAAACCTTTGTTCGAGCTGCGTTCCAGGGCACCATTCCGTACACCAATAATACGATAGTGGCGGCGCTTGAGGGCTAGGACTGTTATCCTCCTGCTTCCACCCCGTCGAAGTTGACCAGCTCTTCTGAATCATCGTATACAGTATCACAGGATTCTGTGTGATTATCTTGAACCCTTCATCTACGTGTACTTACTTCTCAATGGTATACATCAACTCCGCAGCCCTGTGATTATTCATCGTAGAAGGGCCCCTCTTATGACTGGCCGTTGACTATTCGAAACGCGATACTTACAACTGAGCTGGTTGCAGGCATAGCTCTAACCAGAAGCTGACGAAATCCGCGCAAGAGCCAGTGGTTGGCTTGCATTATACTCTTGGCAGACAAAACAACATGGACTTGAATAGACAGTCTCTAGATGGCAGTCCATACACGGTACAAGTCCTATTCGCACGTTCCGCGGGCGCTCGAGGCTCCCGATGAGCCTGTGCCTCTCGGTGGTTTTATATATTCCTTGGCTTTCCTCCTTTTCCCTTTCCACTCCCCAGCGAGCAACTGGTCCAACTCCAGCAATCGACTAGGATCCATGGCTCCTGTAAGTAGTCTAAATGTTCGATTGCCCGCCTGGTGTCGTCTCACCTGTCCAATTTTTGTGCCTGCCCAGCAACTGCCACAATTTCGTGCTTTTCGACAATTCGAGCCCAATGAGGCCGCTTGTATCGTGTTCATCGTGGTATTCGCCATCTAGAGACTGTCTATTCAAGTCCATGTTGTTT